TTTTTAGTGGAGCGCCAAATTCGAATAAAACAGTACCTTGATCACGACTGTCGTGTTTATCTCTTTTTATTAGCTATGATGGACTTCTTAGTTGAGTTCTTGAAAGAGGTACTTTCTTTGTTTAGCATAGTTCTGGCAACCAATCAGTATCATATCTTTCCACTGGCACAACACCGTCATGTTTGGTAGCGGCTCCTTAAGTAAACCTCCATCACAGGGACCACCTCTGACAACCTAGCCACGACTAGCTCTTATTGGGTAAAATATCTCTTCAATGTCCAATTTCAGTCTCGGTAGGTCATCGGAGAGATTCTTTTCCTATTCCTTGCTGAGGTGTTCATGTGTCTGGTCACACAAAAGGCGCAAGTCGTGCACGTTTTTTTACTCATTCCCACCTTGTGTGTCCCATTTTCTTGGTTGGTTTTTCTAGTATCCCTCTAAACAAGTACTTGCTTAGACTATGCTTGCAAAAAATTACGTGTGAAATCCAGGAAACAGTTTGACAGAGGTCTTAAGCCCCATCATCCACCAATATCCTTATTTCCAACGGTTCTGGTTATTTTTTCATAGAGTATCCAGTTCTTTTTGCATTTTCTATCGGTTTGACCATTGGCACCACTTATTTCGGCAGTTCCAAGTACGCGTTTGTAGGACAGTTACTTTGACCTAGAGTCACTCCAGGGTCGCTTATGTTAACCAAACTTTTCGTGAGCCTATTTAATACACAATATTCATGAAATATCTTTGATGAATTCGTCTCCGGCTACTCGACAATGATGCTTTGTTTTTGTACTAAGTACTAAAACGGAATCGTCATCATCGTCACAGTACAGTGGCTGATCTAGTCAAATGCTCTACACTGCCGCCCGTGTTACGTTTCCCTTTTATCAGTGGTCGCACATCGAAACATTTTTTTCCAGCTTACTCATAGGAGTTGAACTAGCTCCGCCAAGCGAATTACCATTGGAGGCTTATCGTAGTTCATTCGTATGACACCAGTCATTCCATCGTCCTCTGCTAAGTTCTGAACAATGCCTGGATTGGTCAGATGGAAGTTTTGGCGAAACGTCCGAAACGACCTATTTTTGCCTGCATAATGGTTTTCCGAATTGGAGAAGAAAGACCACTTGCTGTTCAGACTCCTTTACTGCGAACCTGTCACTTGACTCAGCTTACAGATCTCTTTGAAGTTGGTCACATGAATACGAGGGTACTTACCCATCCTGTTCTAGACCAAACCACTACTCCACTCTTACGTCCTTCGTTGTTTGGAGACTGCCTCTTGTTAGATAGCTTGAGACACCTGAATATTACAGCAATCAAAGTTCAAACCAAGCAGATGTTGTATCTCTCGCTGTTTCTAGCTCATGCGAATACTCTAGACCATCATGTGATAGCCAAACCATCCTGGATGAATATGAAACTTGTGAGATTTAGGAGTGCGTTCACAGCAAGTTATGTGTGTGTTTCTCAAGACCGCTCTTACTTTGTCCTCCTGTACTCGTTCGTATTGCTCATAATATATGCAAAGACCCGCCGAACTTGATTGGGTATGTGGAAACACCTGCTAGAGCTTACCAGTTGCATGCCCGATGCGACTAAATAGTTGTATGAAATAGAACGTGTACGGTCTCGTTTAGCAAGTAATTCATTCCATCTAACATTTCAGTGTACAGGTTACTTCCCAACTTGTCGTAAATTGGTTTGTCCACTCTCAATCATCTGTAGGAGGTTATCTAGATGAGGATAATGAATGGCACAGTTTGGTGCTTGTATCCAACCTTCCTGTTATCCTATCCGCCACCCTCCTATTCAGCATTCCGATATATTTGGCATGGTATGTGACTGTCGTGATGTACGTGTATACATTCGTTCTCTAACACTGGTGCATCTCATCCTGACTCGTTGTAGTAGGGTAAATGAGCCTATCTAGTCCAATCAAATTATCTGTTACTGTAGATCCCTGATGTTTGGTGCCGCCAACTTTCTGTATGCCCTGAAAAGGTTAGTCTACTGGCACCTGTAATGCTGTTATTTCAATGAAAACATGCAAATCCCGCTTACAGTTCACTCACAATAGTCATAGTTGGACTGAAAAAGCGTGTCAATCGAGAAATACGTGTTTTTAGATATTTTTGACCAGGGTAAAGCAAGTGTACGTTCAAAGATGTATTGCCTAAAGTCTTATCCGTCCATGCGAGATGGCGAGATGGACCAAGTGGTTAGAGCGCGAATTTACTGACCGGAAGGTCCGTGGTTCGAACCCGACCTCTGCCCCTCGACTTTCCCTGTCTAGGCTTGGGCGACTTGGCAGTATCCCAACCCTCGTGCCTCCTTCATGTGACATGGCAGCTAGGCACCGAAAGGGTGCTACAGATGAACGTTTTTTATCCGTCCATGTTATCGGTGGAACAGACTGATAGGATGATTTCGGAAACAGATGCTTCACACTAGAATCAATATTATCCACCAACCAGATTGGTCGGTGGATGGCATGTGATTCCAAGCCACTTGAATTCTATGGACTCATACAACGAAATGCCGCTAATTCAGATAGTTCAAGTCGGTGGGGATGGGAAATCAAAGTTAATGGAAATATGTGGTTAGAGCGACCCCCGGAATACACTATCCATCCATTTCAACCTTTACATTCTTGCTTCTGAATGTTTACTAGGCCATTGGTAATGCGCTTCACAATCGTGAAGCAGTGGGGAAATGGAAGCTGCCTAGTTTGACATCTGGGGATGTGCTGCTACGCTTATATCAGGTATTCAAATCCTTCGGCTCGTATTTCGGTGTGAAACTGCAAATCCCTGCACCAAAGTTCAAACCCAAGGATTCATAACTCCAGTAGGCATGGTATTCAGCCACAGGATGTTTTCTTGGACTTTTTCACCTACAGTACGATGCCATGCGGGGGACGAAGCTGTTTGACTTCCCTATATGTATACCACATTTTGTTATTTAACCCTATAAACTCTAGCTAATACCTGCTGTGTATTTGACCTTCGACACTGAAATGTTTGGTGTTCTCTGTTTCCCGTTACTTTTACTTCCGTACATTCAAAATTGGTTTCTCCTGCAGGCATGTTCCCTCTCTAACAGAGTTTTCTCTTTTCGAGTTCGTGACTGCTGTAAAGAATTTTGTGCTCAATGCATTTGGCCAGTGAATATTCGGTTGTCTATGAATGTTTTCCTGTAGTGCCCTCGCATTTTTGCAACTGAGGCATACAATCATCAGCATTAGCAGGTGGGGTTAGGTGGATAGAGAATGAATAAGGTCCTAGGGTGTCATTTCGAAGCAACGGAACTGGTGTAGTATCGGGACATTACCAACAAAACCAAAACCCGATCAATTCGGAACATTATGTAGCTTTAATTACCTCTTTTCCTAAATGAAATGTATTGTTCGAGCACAAATTATCAACTCTATAGTGCTGAGAATCCTGAAAAGTCGGTGTCAACCGTTGTAATGCCCTGTCAGATGGGTATAATCGTACTCTAGGTGTCGCTGTTGAGGCCTTCTTGTTATTGAGCAACACCACAACTAATGGTCATATACCGTACCCATTCTGCAGCTGATCGACAGAGGTGTTTTCTCTAGGGAACGGCGATAGATATTAAGGCCCCAAATGCCGTCCCCACTAGGAAACGAAGTATCGGCTATTTGTAGTTGATCTCGACAGCTTTTTCAGAGGACGTCGAGGTATTTTTTGCAACTATTATTCAATACCCCCACATATTCGTAAGTTAGGCATGCATCAGCATGGTGTAGGTATCACCAGCCTGTCATATGGATCATCATGGCACGCCACTTACGCCAACTCTAGTGAGAATCACAAGGTACGTTTGTCCCAGTTTCCAGCCTCACCGACCCGGATCAGCCTTGCAATCGTAATCCAACAATCATGCGAGTCAAGTCGAGGAAAGCTGCTGTTATCGCGAGTTAATGTTACAACAACGTTAGTTACAATCAGATTCTGAACACTGTTTTTTCGCATAGGATACATTGTCATCTTGCTCACTCGGATAGGCAACGATGGCAGTTTCACCTCGAAAGTGTATTCTAACGCAAACTCAACTTGTAAGGTTTCTTTAGCCTTCCGGACATTTCGGTTCATTGCATCTAGTGGCTTTGCTGCTTCTGGATATGGCATTGCTCGACACGAATACGAACAAGGTTCATTGAAAAAATGGGTGAATCTAATCCTAAGGAAGGCCACTTAGTGCTTAGTGGCTAGTTCCTGGCCTACCTGTACCCTAGGTACTTTTGTTACAATAGAGCCTTCTTATTCAGTTTAGGAACCCCTAATGTGCCTACTAGGTCTTGGAGCAAGCACTACGACACACCTATGCCAGGTTCCACGTGTACTTTTGAAGGACTCAGGGAGGAGTCGATCCACTGGTGTTTTTTGTGGCGTCGCTAAACGTGCATTGATTCAAAGAGCTTCCCTCAAAAGTGAAGACGGCTATTATACTTAAGGTCCAGATTTTGACTGGTTGACTTCTGCAATTCGCTCCAACTGGCCGCGACTGAAAAAGGTAAAAGGACTGTTAACATACTGCGGCATGTTTTTTGTCAGCTCCAATAAGATGAATGAAGGAGACGCAATATTTCAAAGTCCAGGTTGTTTTTTTGGAGTGGTCGGGATTCCAGAGAAAATTCTAGAGAGAAGCGTCGAGCCCTACCTTAAGTTGTCNCCTCCACGGTTTAGGATGATAATCGTGTCAGCTTGATTTCATGAATGAAGTAGAGGACACAACCCTGCCAGAAGACTTGATCGGAAGACTACTGACGAGCTCCTTATCTCAGTAGGACCTAGAATATCATAGCTAGTTTGATATTTTCATCTTCCTTACTGTTTTGGCCTATTTATTTGTCAACACTCACCTATTTCCTGACTAGATTTAGTAATCCCAAAATGCCGGAATTTCGCCCCAATAAGTACTACTGTATTGTGCGTAGGCAAAAGCTTCCACCTTTGCTTGTTACATCCCAGGTGAATGAGGCTAAACGTGAAGCACTTGAGGCGAAGGAACAACATGAACGACTTCTGGCCACGTACAACGACACGGAAAAATCCATTCACAACATGGAACGCAGACTTAAAATGGACATTAAAAAAGCCCAGTAAGTTCCTCCTGTCTATGATTAAGCCAACGGAATTAATAGTAGGGGCTATTGCTGCACTCCATGGTATGTTCTGCCCGATGTAGCTGATCCCTTTCGGTAGGTCTCAGTCGGCGATCACAGGTTGGTGAATTTCGTTGCTACTGACGCGAGGCTTCGTCAAGTCTCAGGAAGCACTTCGCATACATCAGTAATGGGAGGCTGGTAAACCTTGAACGTCCTCTGCCATAATAGCCCGCTTTTCACAGCACATTGTGTTATTTTTCTAGACTGACCACCTGTGCACAACGGTATCGGTCTTCACAGGGTGTTTGATTCTGTTGTTGATGAGCAGCTGTGAGTCGATTACCGGAGAAAGCTGAGAAAGCTGGCAATGCCTACTGGATTTGTCATCAAATCCTACCCGAAATTCTAGGGTGCCAAGCTGAAGTTAAGCGAATAGTGATACACAGCCATTGCACTTGTATAGGTCACGTATTTTTCACTGCTCTCCTACCAAATAAATGCTCATGTATGGGGTGAAGTCGCACACAATTGGGAGACTAACTAGCACGCGTAACGAGCTAAATAAAAACAACGGTCCGAAGCAAAAACTATAACAGCGCGTTGTTAAGTTGGTCGCTGAAGCTGTTAAAGGACCGACACCTCGTAAACTTTCATAGTTCTCCAAAAATCATCCGGCGATTTACGCTCAGGTGTTAACATTGTGCCGGTTGATGTATGAACATGTGTTGTCATCTGAATCAGTGTTCTCTTCCCCTCTGGTCCAGTTCGGATAATGAAGTAATGATGGTATGCATTATGTTTGGCTACCGTAAGATTTGGAGGAGTGGTTATTTTCCCTCCTATGAATATCCTACCCAATTTGTACATTTTCATGGAGTGTTTGCTATGGGGGAAGTTCGCTCCATGACAAAACTACCTTAACCTGGGGACATTGTACGCACACCGTATCATAAATCGGTGAGGTCAGTGAAAGTTGTTTAGGCCGTCGTGATTCGACCGGAAGTTCTATCCACCACGCTACTCTCGCTTCATCTTACAACAACTAAGTCGTACGAGCCGGATCGCCGCTGCCCACGACTGACGATCGGCGACATGATCAACGATTATTTTTTGATGGAGACTTTTGAAAATTCGTCCCGTCGATAATACCAGTTCATGTTGAAAAGCCGAGAAGAGCTGTACACTTGTTTCATCGTTATTGGGGATCATCATCACTGTGCATCTCGCGAAACTCAGAGTTCCCCACCCCCGAACTTACAACCAGTATTTGGACGCTTTGGGAGAAAAGTGAGATGTTGATAATGAGCATTGTGTCGTACGAGCGGCTTTCATTCTGGGATGCACGCCTAGCCTTTGCACGATCATGTATCACCTGTAAGCTGACAGAAAATTTATGAGAGGGTATTCAACAGCACTGTCGTTGGACTCTGAAGACCATCTCCACACAGTTCACCGAAACTGGTTCATGCTCGCCGTTTTCGGTTTGAAGCCAGGGTTTGGCTGACTCACTTAGAGGGACAACCGATGCTCATGAAGTTGTTTGCCGTATGTGGTAAGATATGAACTCTTCAACGTATCGGTCCACTCCATGCTGGAATCGCACCACCCGGCCAGCCAGTTAGACATCTTAATCGAATCCTAACCGAAGTCGCAGTTATCCAGCCAACTTGGATTGTTTCCTTCCAGGAGTCTGTTCTGTGTGATATCTGCTTGTCACTTTCACCTTAGTAATGTGCGTCCTAGCCTTGTTGAGAGGCTGGTTTATTCCTGAATGTAGATGATAATTCAGTGGACTGTAGGCGTTATGGCGGTACAATGCGAAGCGCCATTTCTAAAAAAAATCTTCCCTATTTTTACTGCCTTTTTTCACCATGTATGCAGATCTCATTGAATCGGAAGCTGCATTCTCGCATAAACTGGCTTATCCGCTTATTTGGTGGCACACAATAAAACTATCGTTTTGGACCCTTAGGTATTAATGCCATTACAGACGAATTGGAGTACTGGTCAGTGTTACCGGTCGTTGAACCAATCGTTATGTTCCACGTGCCGATGGATCTTTGTCGCTGCTCATTCGGTCGAACCTCTAGCCCTTAATGCTTGGGCATAGAAGACTGACTACCTTGCATGGTGAAAAACTGGAAACAGAAGTCGAATGTCTGCTAATAAACCAGTACTTGTAAAAGGATAATTTTGAATGCATGGAATAGATAAAACGCGATATCGTGTGGTGAAGAGGAGCAAGTTTGAGTTCAGACGTTCTCTCAAAAAATTACAGAGCGAAATAGAACTAAATGAAGCAATTCAGCTTTAGGTAACCCAGTTAAGTATTGAAGTAACACATTGCTACTGTCACTGAAGACAGTCCACTTCTGGTCTCGGCCCTTTTGGAGATCACAAAAGGACAGCGTTCAGCTGTAACACCCTCTCGGTGCCTAGCTGCCATGCCACCCAAAGGAAGCACGAGGGACGGGATACTACCAGGTTGCCCAAGCGTAGACAGGGGAAGTCGAGTGGCAGAGGTCGGGTTCGAACCATGGACCTTCCGGTCGGTAAATTCGCGCTCTCACCACTTGGGTCGTCTCGCGAGTTCCCGAGTTTCCATCCACCATATACTTGAACACCAAACAGTACGCAAATCTTGAAATACATCCACTTATAAATTAATTTGTTGTTAACGGGATTGAGCGGGGATTCATCTGAGTCTCCTGTAAACAACAACTTGGTTTTCGAATGAGTGTACCTCGCCAGTTCCTTTGATCTATTCGAATTGATGCCGTTATATGGCCAAATCACCCGACTGATTTGCAGTACTAGGCTGACCACCCGCACAGTCGGCCCGTAAACTGAGTAGGCATGTTGCCAACTCACACCAAACTTCTAAAACAAATCATGTATCATTTACAAAATCTGAGCAACAAACGTGTACTTGCAGCTAGTTCGGTTATTGCTTCTTACTGTAATTGGAGAACAGAAGCAAACTTGGATCTTGTGCACCACCAACTTCATCTGCAGACGTGTTCGCCTCTCTTCGGTTGATTGGAATCTCTGAGTAGTGAGATAACTGAGATGAGCAATTCACTAGTATATTCCCTCGTGTCTGATTATCGTCCAATGGTGGCCCAATGCGATCGACATTTTCCTGAACGCATCCATTTTTCTCCTCTATTTATTTTAGGCTATATTTTTCAACGAAACAGCGGTTCGATGAACGTATGCAGGTAAGTCTGATTGATATTTTTGAGACGACCACATATTCCGTTCTACGTCCGGGTGTATCCTCCAGTGGATGTCTCATCAAGATTTGACCTCGCTTGACGCATTTTGTTCATTTTGTTCCGCTACGTGTTTTCATTCACTGACGCATGACGCGCACCCCTTTCAAGTGTTCCGTCAACTGCAGACTCTCTCATTGTGAGTTTATTTATGACACGCGGCACGTTTCATTTACATTTGTCTATCTGCTATAGAAGAGATTGTGGGTAGCATAAATAATGATCATAATGAGGGTTAACACGTGTAGATAACCTAGAATGAGGTTTAGTGGGTCAGGTCACCGACGCCAGACACCTATCACGACGTCGCATATTCAGGTCACAAATTTATTCCATTCCATTGTAGCCAGTCGATCTGAATAGTTCACAGTTGTTTTTCGTTTTGCTATTTTTTCTCTACTGATCATCTTCGTTCAACGAAAACCCAATTTTATCCAGACGATGAATGTTCTGTTGGATGAAACAAGCGCAACAAAATTCGAGCGCTGCCTCAACGTCCCAGTCGTTTGACCTGGGGTCAAATTAGATCCTCTAAGCTGAATGTTAGTCACTTAAAGCCGTTACGGCCTATTTCGCCCACATACCAGCCCTCGAGTCCAAAGTAAGCTGACTTTTTTCAGGGCGTTGAGCCTAGACATTGGATACCGTGCTACAAGTTGCACCCTATATTGTCTTTAAGTTCAAATCGAAGTTAATGGAGTTCCTCGAGTGGGACGTAAAGGTCTGTGCCTTAAGTCATCGCTTTACACCTTATTGTGACTGCTTCAGCGGTGAATTTGGCTTGTCTAGCACCGCGTTCAGGTACGTTTTGTTAATCTTTTGGGAGCAACTTTTGCAGAACAAACTAGCCTCCAAAAAGCGTACTTTCCCTCCAATTAAACGAACTGGAGGTAAATTGGTTACGTACCTTCGGGGTTACGGGAGATTTCCTGTTTTACTCAGTATGATGTGATGTGTTTCAGTTCACGGTTCTCACTATACACGAACACCTCGCGGTGCTGCTAAAAAACGATCATCTCTTCGCCACAGACTTTCGGTACATAGGGCATGAGAGGTTTGGCGGAATACACTCATTTTTAAATTACATTGGGAAATTCAATGGAATCTGTCGTTTGTGCTGTGAGTGAAACTTTCTGTGTACCTAAATGCCGAGGAGCCTTCGTTGGCCTACAAACCAGTTTAATCGGTTTCGGCTACTAAAAGGGAGAGGAAGCAATACTTTTACTGATTGTCAATAAGGAATTGGATGACCGTTCTAAGCGTATTTGGATTTACGCACTAGCGGACAGCTTTTGGCATGCAACACTTTCTACATTTCGACTTCCGTTCTGAGCTTTCTCAATGTGACTTTCCAGTTTGCTGATCTTTGGTATAGACATAACTTGCAAGCACACCTAAAAAATCGCTAGATTATGGGTGTGCACCCATAATCGTATTAATTTTTTTCATACTTCGCAGCCTCACATGCAAACGGCGACTTGCAACGAGGTCATAAAAACTTGAGCTTTTTTCTTGGGAACCTTGTTTTTCCAGGACCATTGTGCAAATGATACGTTGTATTGTTAATCACCACTGGTTGTAGGTCAGGTTTTGGAATTACCATATCTTTCGACGTCACAGTTTTGTCAATACAAAATCGTACGACTGTTTTCATCATTTTCCGGACCGTTCATGGTTCTTCAACGTCACCACAAATTGACATCATAAGGATAACTCCCCCGCACATTCCTGTCGCATAGTGCCTGTGAATGTGCCATCAGCTACTCACTCCAAACGGGGCTTCGGTTTTTATGCTATAAAGCGGCACGTCTAAATGATATGTGTAAACCGGACAGTAGCACACACTCACGAGAGAAGCCCACTCACCACGAACTGTCTAACTAGACTCAACTAGTTAGGGAGGTCTTTCTCAGGGAGCATCTCTCGCAGCAAACAATATTGTGTTATTAATAGCACAATGAAACACTTAAACTAAGGCAGTAGTAGTATTGTGCCGCTCAGTCATAAAACTTAGGGTAGAACGACGACATCTATGGTCCACCATCGCAAAAGAAGTTAGGATATTCCCATCATAAAGCCATTATGTACAACCACTATGTGAATTGACACCGGAAACTCGATACTGAGTCACATTTTCCTTCCCCCAAAATGCATTGCGCAGGTCGGAACTTTCTCCCACCGAATTAAGAGGTTACCATACGAACACGACCACTGCACTACGTTTGTTTACTTCGGATTACAGCAGGCAGAATAGACACCTTACACAAATGCGCCTACAACATCGAGATGATGCCTATCTGACTGTAGTCGTGGTTTATTTCCTCCTGCACCTTTTCTATCTCGTACTGTCTCTTGTCATAGGCTACAATATCCTAATCAGCGTGAACACATACACGGTCCTCGAGTGTCAAACGGAACCGAATCAACAGACGTGCTTACAGTAATTCAGAATTAATCACAGTGCACCCAGGCGTGAAGCGTGCGAGCCCATATATGCTGTAGTCAGTGTCTTCCATGGAAACTGATCATAAAAGTACCACTTTCTCGAAGAATGGTTCTTATGGGTTCAAAAGCTATAGCTTCGACGTGACTAAGTTAGTTAACTGGGTGGGCCGTGCTGTACCGCAGCTACTTCAGAATAAGTGTCGCCTCACTGAAACTGTTCACAGAGGCACGCAAAATCCACCTGCATGAATCAAACGAAATCAGGTTCTAGTAGCCCACTCCTCCGTTCTCAGAACTGCATCGTTGTTGCTTCAAAGTTTCTCACCCCAAACAAGATGAATATCCTTCAGGGAAGCACAGCAAAACAACGGTGCAGGTAACCTAAATCAACCATTTCCTGCATGGGCCCATTTTAAGGTAGATGTGAGCTGCCTTGTCTTGATTGACTTGTTGATGATCTCTCCAGAGGTGGACAACTGTGTGTGCAGCAAAGTAAGCCTCACATCTTCATAAAGGAAACTACTCACAAGGTTGCTGAAAACTCTTCGACACCAAGACCGGTTTCGCCCTTCTCGGAGCTCACCAGGTAGGCGCTGTCCCCGAGTTTCCGTCAACCTTATGTTCTACTTCTCACATTGTCTGTCGTTGGCCAGTAAACTTCGCTTTTCTGTAATTCTGGCTTAAATTGTACGTGAACATTTTCTGCGATTCGATGGCCCGATCGGACCAGTGGGTCTGATGTTTTTCGTCACTCAGATAGCAAGCTTCTCACGATACCGCCAAAAACTGTATTTATATGGAGGTCCGAAGAGTTCTTAAACAGTTTGTTGACTCCCTCCGAGATACAACTGTTCACACCTCAAGAGACCACCCGTGGTTGTGTCGGTAGGGAAACTAGTGTATAGCTCTGTCTTTTTAGTAGGGGGATACAGTAAAATAGTATGCTTTTTGTCGGTCCCCTCAGGTGGTCTCGTCGGATCCGCAAAAGTGTATCAGAATCGCCCCCTCTGAAAGTACTCTTTAGAAGTCGTATGCTGCGGAGTGTGATCTCCTCTAGGAAAGAATTGATCAGTTGGAGATGTCTCAATGGACTAACTACAAGCAATCACTGTGGTGACATAAATATTGCTTCATACCATTAGTCACACTCCTGGTCTCCGACGACAAGAAAGTTCAGTGTACGAATTTTGCATCCAGGTATTTGTTGGGAGGTTTTGTGACACCGGGACATTTCGACTTGGTGGTTGGAATCTCGTAAAAGTTATAAATTTCATTTCTAATCTCGCGGAACCAACATGAAATAACCTTAGCTAATGTTAGGCCTTCCTTTGGAATAACGCACCGGACGTGGGACGCACTATGCTGTTGCGACTGGTATCCGACGTGGAAACTGGCTGCGGCATCTCCAGCGACATCACTTTACCATCACAGTCTTCTACATCGTCGACCATCTGTTAAGTCTCATTCGCATCCTTCCAGCAGAAAAACTGAACTAACTCATCTTTCGTTTAACCATCATCTCAATCCTTGTTGCCGCTAGTTTGACCCTTATTTGTATACTGAATTAAGTCGGACACTTTCTGAAGTTAATGACATTCAGTCAGAATACCTACTCAGTAAACGAACCGGTGTCCTAATCACCTTGTTGCAAACTCACCTCGATCAGTAATGCTGTTACTAAAACCCGAAGATATCTCAGGCTCTCCATCGCTATCGTTCACTGTCTCACTGTAGGCGTAAACTTGCGTTCCGTTGAGTATAGATTCATGCACCCTTTTGGTAACCCGACCTTCCTAACACAAAGCGGAACGATTCCTCGTTTCCTGCCAGGTTACCTACACAGGAGCGATCTAAATACTTAGATAGAGTTTAGACCGTGGACCTCCCGGTCAAGTGCTCGCCCCAGGTGCAATTCTCGTCTGCTTCCTAAACAGTTGGTGTATTGATGGTGGCTGGTTTACAGGACGCGCTCATTTTGGGTGACTAGCGATACGTCAAAAGTCAGGTGCGTTTCACCTAGTGCTTATGTCCGTCACGCCTCACAGGAAGGTTGTGTATTCAAACCCCCTAAAGGTTCGTGAAACCACATGAAACAGCCCTGCAATGCCTCTAGGCCCTTCAGCATGGATGAACTGTTTTTTAAAACTTCAAAATTCCGCTACGAACGAACTGGCTTTTTACTGATTGGCCCATTCAGGCTGGATGGACCACAGTCTCTTGATTTATGCACATCTGGATAGATTGGCAACGCACGCACCAACGAGGGATCGGATATGCTTGTGAAATAGGACCACAATAGCCTTCCTAATAGGAGAATTCGAAAATGGACCACTCCTCTGATGAGTTAACAACAGCTTTGTTATCAATCAACGTCAGTTGTGCGGTCTTCCCGACGAAGGGCTACTCTTCAGCTCTCAATGAGTCACTAATTCGTTTGTCGTCCGCCCATGGATCCTTTAAATTTAGAGCTTCTGGCGTTTAAATTTAACTATCCAGTTGATGATCAGCTACATTTGGTATGTGTAAATAGAAATAGTTGGGTTAACCTTGCGAGTGCCCATAAGATGTGTTACCTCTTGTCTACTGATCTGGTCTATTGAACATGGTTTTACGTTGTAAGAAGGTCTTCTGTCGTGCTCTCACTGTTCATGCTTTCAGTTGATCTGTTGCGATCTGTATACAACATTTTGTGTGTTGGCTTCAGGCATGGTTTTGAGCAAACTATTGCTGATTCAAGACGGAACTAGTTCCACCGTATGCCTTTACAGCGCGGACGATGAATCAGCATTCTGTTGTATGCGTTTCAAGGTGCATTGTTGATCAATCGGTTCGCCACTGTAAATTCTGCTACTTGAGACATCAAACCCACAAGCTGGTTGCTGTTATGTATTTTCATGGACTGACATGCGTAGATCATTCCGATGAGCTTCACTTAAAAGTCAGACTTGTCGCGTCGACTACTGTTGCGTTCAATTCAGGCATCTGGTTTGCTAAATTCGAAGATAAAAAGACTGTGAAATGAACTGCCAGAATTTTCTTCTCAACGGGTTTTGATTTGTTAAGCAGTATGGCCCAGTGCTTACCAAAACAGATTGAACCCGCTGAAAATCTCAGGTACTTGAGAGTTGCGGCGATTCTCCCGAACATGCGACCGAGTAAGTGTCCGTGGTTAATCAAGGGGAGATATCCAGTCCGGAGTACATAACAGCCGTGTGTGAATCAGCCATACCAAAGTTATCTTCCAGGATGATTTCTGCAACTCAAGCTAGATGTTGCCCTAGAGAATGACTACTTAGGTTGGCGGTAGTCTCTAATGTCGAGTAAGCAACCAAATCAGGGAGAGAATTTTCCTGTTATGTTTTCACAACTATCATCCTATTTTTCTTGGTTGAGTGTGCGCTCAAGCAGTGAAGTTCTATTGCTAGTCCTATTTATGTATTCGCTTTCTGCTTGCCACGTGATTTCCACTTGAGTGCAAATCCCGCAATCAGCTTGGACAATACGCAATTTTTTCTAGTGTGGATTAGGGGACTTCAATGCGAATGGTCACAAAAGCCGATTTTGACAACGAGAACATTACTCCTTGTCCAGCTCACTCGTTTACGTAATCCTCGTCCTACCCCGGCGTGAATAATTTCGTTCGGTCTATATCAGAGGTGAAACTAATCGGACTAATTACCCATTGGTGGAATGACTGTTCAGATGAAAGGCATGTGAGCACGAATTATTGGTTGTTGATCTCTTGCCGGGCTTGGGCTCACTCGTTTACGTGGTCCTCGACCTACCCCGGCGTGAATAATTTCGTTCGGTCTATATCAGAGGTGAAACTAATCGGACTAATTACCCATTGGTGGAATGACTGTTCAGATGAAAGGCATGTGAGCACGAATTATTGGTTGTTGATCTCTTCGCCGGGCTTGGCGTACTGATGATGTCTCCTCGTTTGGTGACGAAACGTTTGCAAGCCAATTGCCAAGCTCGGTGAACAGATCAACAGCCACCCGATCAACAGACACTAAACTCACTGGAGCTACCAATAGTTGGAGCACGAATTGGACAACCCTTGTGGCTAACCACCAATGCTGCTGTCCCTCTGTCGTGCCTATCTTGTACACAAAAATTGATCAGTTCTTTGAAAATACGGTTTCTGTGGAATTGGCTACCGCCATGTCAACCCGCTTGATCGTCACTGCTAATGTTACGGAAGATTTGGATAGCGGTTTTGTGAAATCGCTATCATGGGTCTCGCACCCCGGGTTCGATGTTAGTCGTTAAATTTAAGTTTGCGTGCCCGAATTCGGTTCCCTGCAACAGCGGTCAGCTACTGCCTGCTGCACTCCCCCACCAGTCGATGCCGTGTGTTGGATGGTGGATCGTTGTTCCATGCTAACAGGATAGAAGAGCCACTCCTCAGCGGCTCCATGGACCTATCAGTCAACTGTCCCACTCCTTGTACAGTCGTTTCCTTTGTAGCCTCTTCCATACGGATACCGCCACTTCCATTATGATTGCCTCGCAGTTTCAAACAAGTACCCATTGGGAAACCCCTCATAAATACCATCTCCCTATAGGAAACGCCTCACTGTTTGTTAGACGCAGAAGAGACCAATCACATTTTCCCGAGCACGTGTCTTTTACACTAGTTCGCTCTGCTGATTGATGTTCCACTTGAGTCAATCATTCTTCGCATGCTTCTGTTGCTTTTATGCACCCTTTCGCATGTATACTGTTTGAGGCTGCGTTTCCAGGATAAGGGTCGGATCATCTGACCATCTGTATCCGATATCCAGCGTTTCTGACTATAACAGTCTGTTGTACTGCTAGTTCTAAGTTGGCCGACTTGGTGAACGGAGGCTTGTCTTCAGTAGCCGGAATCTATCATTAATGGAATGGAATGCTTTATATTTGTCCATCCGCGGCGAATATACACACCCAAACACTTGTCTTTAGCTTCGTTCTTGCACGTTTTGTCGATGGTATGCCTATGCATAATCCACACGTTTAATCACAGGTGTGCCAGATTTGGTTGAACAAGGTTGGTGGGATAAAAAAATCCACTAGCGTAATGCAATGTGACTTAATTGTATAAGGCAGCAGGACTGACGGAAATCGGTCACTAAAGGACAAAGTTCGATGCGAAGAGGTTTTATGTACCCCGAAAGCACCAATACATAATCACTAGTGCACATATTAATCACGATGGAAAACATTTTGATGCACCTGTCACTGCATTACTTTAATTTTTTTGGCGTTTTTCGGAACCTTGGTCTTTCTGCTTTGATAGGACTATCGGTGAGGTCTCTCGAGTCGATCACTGTAATTTATTGCAAGATAATTGACTGGAGAACAATTGTCCTTGGTCACTCTCTGTTTTGTGTCCGCCTGTCATGTTGAATTCGAACTGGTACGGTCCATCACTAACGTACGTATTTCACCATGTTTGTTTTCTTGCAGGAGGCCAAACTTCGTGTTGAAAGCTGTGCTGATAGGGTCAATTTGTGTAAGTCCCTGTATGCGGAAGCCATGTTAAAATTGGAACAAATTTCTGAATCTCTTCACGACACCAGACGACGGAAAACACTGGATCTGGATACAAACTCCAGGTTCCTTCATGATGACGGAAGTCCATCGCCACTTGTTCGTGGTCAGGGTGTGGGTGCTGATTCGCTCGAGTGTATTAACGAACCAGATTGCCGGGCTGTACACAGTCCCGTTTGCATACACGCTGGCAGTGCCGCACCTTCACGCATCTCCTCTGAGTTCTCATCTGCCCCTGATTTATCCTCACCCAACTTAGTATCACTCCACTCCGAAACGGTCCCAGTCGAAATCGTCACCGGCCTCATTCAGGTGAGCTCCCTTTCGTTGCTTCTGTATCGTACCTATTCCTTACCCGCTTTTTAGGTTTAGAGTTTAGTTTAGAGTTCAAGGCACGAGATTCCGACTGGGCCGTTCGGTTTTAATCCTCTGTTCAGCTTTGTATGACATGGCTTAAGCCTCGTGCTTCTAACGGGGTGCACAACAACTGTGCGCTCCATAGTGCTACGTCGAATGGTAGCTGATAATATATGGTGTGTATGAGCAGTATCCGCAACCATTAACCCTTCCTATAACAGTATGCGTGCCCTTGTATGTTAACTTGCCCAACGGGACAGTTTGGTTCATTCAGTGATGCGCTTGCATCTTCACGTATCATCAAGATTCCGTCCACCCGAACTCCTCGCCTTCGACCCATTCCCAGATAATCCTTCCATAGCCTAAGAACCTTCCGTTATATCGAATAAATGAGCCGTGGTCTTGCTTTTCAGGTGCTTGGTTTTTCGGGATCCACCACACAGACACTCGACCATCATTTAAAACTCGATGTGTTTGCGTGCTTTATTTATGCGTCTTTTAGACGCAGAATTCACGTTCACTAAATTTCTCCACCAGATAGGATTGAGAATTCAGCAGCATCACAGACCGAGCGGGAACTGGGCCCTTGAACTTATTTAGTATCCGTAGGTATGTGAACAAGACTATGACACATTCACGGTGCACTTTCATGCATACTCGCCGTCTGTTCTCGACCTCAGTCTTCTGGCCGTTCAAGAGCACTCACAAAATGCTCACATAAGTATTTTTTGCCGTCATTGAAGTTGTTCATAGGACTTCACGATTTGGCCGGGCCTTGAAATTGCTGTGGTACGGGTGTCGTTGATCTTGGGACTAACTAAGCATGGGACATTTGGATGGGTCACTTTGCTCAAGTTGTCATGTACAAAAACTGGAAGTATGTTGGATCGCGTACTCACAACGTACAACGCTCTTTTCGGTCAATGGCTTATTTCGCACTGATCAAAGCATGTCTTGCTTGTGACAATATCTCATGCAATATATGGATGTCTGGTGTTTGGCAGCCCATCCTTGTCGGTTAAATGTTCTGTCCTGGTCTTAAGTTCCATCGTGCAAGTGTGAAAAATGGAGACGAATATTTATGGAGACAAAATGCGGATATTGCCAAAAAACATTCCGCTGCACATTCCTACCTTATCGAGTTTCATCTGATGGACGTAGCTTTATTTGTCTATTCGATTGGCAGCTTCCGCTGCACATGCTTCCATCGTGGATCACATCTGTGCATTTCTGTAGGACGTTCGGCTACATGTGGTTCATAACCCCATCTTTTCAAGATCCAAACTTAATGACGTCAGGTGAAATTCCAGCTGGTTCTGTTGCACCTCCGAAATACCGATGAACGCCAATTTATCAAAGCTATCAATGCCCTCTTCATAAGTGGTGCGAAAACACTTATCAGAATTTCATCATAGCACTAAGAAAACATGAGCTATTAGATGTCAACGTTTCAAATGAATTTCTTCAGTCGCACAATTAAAATATTCAACATTCATAGGTAACGGACTTAGTGACAACGGCCTAACTACATCGAATGACAAATTGCTCCGAAGAAGAGGCTGATTCATGTCGTGTTTCAAGATAGTCGAGCAGCTTCTGTGCACACAATTTGGAATACTGGGCTCTCGTCAACATTGCTTCTGAGGAGGCCAGCAGTTTCGAGTTCCGATTGCGTGAGAGTCTGGTGAAACTTGAGCAGGACCAGCTAGGCGGCCTGTCTTAAAGATGCGTTTGATAATTGATTACCTCCAGTTCAGTTTCTTGTGCGGAATGTACGCGGAGCAGTATAACAAACTTTAGTCTCTATCTTTGCTACAAAAATATCTGCTGGAGTTGGACCCAGTAGACTACCCCTTAGACAGTTCCTTCAAATTCAATGCGACTGTTTTCTGTGGCGAAGAGAATAAGACCCTTAAGCACCGCGATGGGAATAGCGGAGACATGATTGACGGTGATGTGGTCACACAAGTAGTCAACGGTTTCGCGCAGTGACCCTGATAATAAATAGGGAATCAACGTCGGTAGAAAATATCTTCCAGAAACCTACTCACAGATCATCAGGTTTTCGGCATACTTTGAAACAGTCCTTCGAGTAATGTTGAGTTAACATGGATGGGAGCTAGAATATCCAATAAGCACCGACCAAGCACATGATGTAGGCACAGTTTTGCATGTTTAAAATTGTTTTTACTGCAACAGGTCACCATGCATTTTTCAATATGTGTGGGTCTCTACGCATCTAGTTCTCTACTAACAGTATTTTTCGGGGTTGTACCTACTTTAATTTCCTGTTCGTCAGTGAGAATGCCGGCCGTTTTTGAGACGTGATCTGTTTTGTCTGTTGTGATCATTCCTACGCTTGTTCGAGGGAAACCAGATCGTTCCTAGATTGTTGCTTCTTCATGGTTTGGTAGTATTTGAGTATTAAACAGCAGTGCTACCGAACAGTAGCCGGTAGAAACTTATCTGATATGTTCACCAACTTGGCCCTGAACCAGTTCCCTTTATTGGAATCTGTCAGAATAAATCGTTCAGCTGTAACACTCTTCCAGTGCCTAGCAGCCATGTCACCCGAAGAAAAACACGAGGGCTGGGATACTGCCAGGTTGCCCAAGCCTAGACAGGGAAGTGGAGAGGGAGAGGTCGGATTTGAACCACGGAGCTTCCGATCTGTGAATTCGCGTTCTTACCACTTGCGCCATCTCAGACTGAACATACGTCTTATGGTTTGACCAATTGCTTTGTTGGTATCTTGGATTTTAGCTCAGCAATGAGAAGGGCGAAACCGATCGTGGGTTGTCGAAGAGTTTTTATCAACCTCGTAAGTAGTTTCCTTTACGAAAAAATCTCTAAATGACGTTTGGCTAACCCTGTCGAAGAAAGATTATGGACGCAATACACTTTGTTGGAAAGGTTGATGGGTCAGCTTATTGACGTAGGACCCTAGTTAATTTCCGGAGTGTCTTCTCCGTGGTTTCTCCGTCAAAGTTTTCGAACTTGATGGGCACTTTAATGAAGAGTGGTCTAGTATATCAGCACACCGCTTTTGGGTCTCGATAAACTTGTCTAACCGCACAGGAATATCATGAATGAATATGGGAGTTGGCCAGTCTAACGTTGAGATGGAGATGTTGCCTGGAGATTAACCTGCTGAGATCTGCGGGGAACCTCCCGGAATGTATACACTTCATTAAATTGACGAGTGTTCGTTCAAGCATTGTCTGCCGAAAAGGCACTGTTAGCCAACGTAACCAACGTAGAAATGTTCGCTACTTTATGTAGAAAATCTAAACTCGCTGCCTAATCTTGCCTCTGCAGCTAGCAAGATGGAGACAGTGATGCGTATGCAATTTAATGGCGATCACATCGCAGGCAATATCGGTCATTAGCTTCAGTTCGATTTGGGTCACAACTATGGAACAGCTCAGTTGCGCCTGGTTTCGACAACTCGAAGAATCCTATTTCAAGTTAGATTGCAGCGTTTGTGCGACCAGTCTGTCTCGCTTGTCACTTGCAGTTGCTGTCATGTCTAACTGAGCAAAACTGATCGATGTCTTTTCTCAAAAGATCTCCTAGCTACTTCCCAATCAGTTGCTACGGTCATTGCGATAGAACTAGTCCAAACACCTAACAGCCTAACGGAACTAGGGTTCACCCATTGTCAAACGTATCTCCTAGACAGACTACCTAGCTGACCCTGCTCAGGCGTCTACCGTACTGTTACGCAACTGAAACTCGAAACCGCTGGCTTCATGTGATGCTCTGTCTATCAGAGCACAGTACCGCACATTCTGTGCACAGAAGCTATTCAGGTTTCTTCGACTCTCTTGTAACACAACCCGAATCAGCCCCTTCATCAGAGCGATTTGTCGTTTGATATAATTAAGCCGTTGTCACCACGTGTGTTGCATGGTTTACTTTTGACACTGGTGAAAGTGATTTGTGATGTTCACTTGTCATGATCCATGTCCTCCAACTTTTCGGATGAAATGTTTCAAGGTCTAATGTTTCCTGTTCGTCGAAATTGGCCGGTAGCGTAGTAGCGCTGTTGTCAAAGCCCACAGCTTTTGCTGTCAGCTTGTTTTTTCAGTTGTTAACGCCATAGAACACATACGGATTTCTGCATCCAACAACTCTTGGACTGTTTTTCAGCGCATTGGAAATAGTTTTGTTTAGTATTTTGAGGTTTTTGATACAAATCGGGATAAAATGTCGTTTACGGTTCTTTTTCTCACGTTTCAAAGGATCTATCTTAAGAGTTTTCACATACAAGTTATTTCAAAAGAAGGAACACTTACTTTTGCTGCATTTTTGCTGTCGTCTGTCATTTTATTTCGAACGAAAATGTTTTAATTTGTTATTTGATCTGGCTATTCCCTTCGCTTCGATGATTCTGTCGTGTTAAATTAGCCAGTCACTGATCAGATGTCAGTATGCAGTAATACACGTCTCTTGGGTCTATGGCGCTATAATAGTGATTACTGTAATTTAATAACTTAGTCGAAAACCGTATGCATAGTGTATTCCCGTGATAAAGCTATTCTTCGTGATAATTACTGTCCCCCTCTGGCGATAACAAACTGCCTCAAGAAAAAGTTCCACTGTGACTGGTAGTGGTGTTCTCCCCTCGTTATCCAAACCACCCTACGGGTCAGTGTCTTTTCAGTCTGGATGGGCACATTTAATTTAGTGTCTAATAAACGGTCAAATTAGATGAACGAGTGGCTTCTCTAACGATGTAATTGCTCACAACCTCGAAGATGGAACCGGACGTTAGTGTGCGAAGCACCGAGGACAATGGGACATTCACAAAATGTCACCGCTTTGTCTGGCATCATTGTTGGATGCCGCCTTGCTTCAACTTCCATTGACGGTGAAATCACGAACTCACTTAAATTCTAAATGCCACTAGCCAAAAGAAACAAACATTTAGTATTCCATCAGACGCTGTGCAAATGAAATGTTAGACTACTAACTATCGTTGCTTCGTTGCTACCAATCATGCCCAAATTCATCCGAAAAATATCTGTTATCATATTCTCTACAACCTTAGGGGCGAGGTGACTCAGTGGTTAGAGCGCGAAATTTCTGACTAGAAGGTCCGTGGTTCGAACCCGACCCCTGCCTCTCGACTTTCCCTGCCTCGGTTTGGGCAGCCTGGCAGTATCCCAGCCCTCGTGCTTCTTTCGGGTGGCATGGTAATTAGGCACCGAAATGGTGTTGAATGTTTTTTCTACAACTTTGGCGACATGCCCAAAAGTGGTAATTCCGGAAGCTTGTTATTCTTGCGATGATCTATATTTGAGCTTTCATTTTTGCGGGAAGCATAATGTCTTGCTCTGTGGTCTATCCACATCCACTCCCGCACCTCCCTCGAATACTCTCATGACTATATTTCCCTCTTTCCCCTCACTCAGAACGTTCACGAGGCTGAATCTGAATTGGGGGCATTCCGTTTGGCTGTGACCTCGTCCAATCCAACTTCCGAAATGTCTGTCGCCTCGTCATCAACTGGCGCAACCTCTTTGTCATCTTCAGTTTCATTTAGTTCACAATCAGATGTAAACGAATTACCGCAACGACTGAGCGCTCCTAGGTTCCATACAACTTATAACCATAATGTAGATAATGTTGCTCCCCAGTTCGTGGATCTTGAGATGGACGCGTTGTCTCCTAATTTTTCCGAATCTAAGATAAATGCTCGATCCCTTTCTTATGTGCAGTGCGCTCCACTTAAAAGTAATTACTCTGAGAAATCCCTTTCTTGTGACTTGTCCGGTTTGACGCTTTCAAACTGATTACTCACTTACACTTGCTTTCCTTACCCCATGTACAGCTTAGTGAATCAAGACAACAATACTGTGTTCTCTGTCTCTGTCTGTCTTACTGTGTATACGAAGCAGAATCATTTCTTATGTGGCAGTGTGTCTAGTCACTACCGTTTTTGCACCGTCGCCCGCTGATATTTGAACACCACCCATCTTTCAGTCCGCCTGTTAAGAAAATTGATTCATGTGCTTGGGTGTTTATGTCCAATGCTCTGAGTTCGTCGCCAATTCTCACCCGTTTTCATGCGTGCATGTCATGGGGGAATATCCACGAACTTTCTTATGAACAAAAATGTTGGCTTCCATTGATTGGCCAAGTCCGGACTGGGCTGCGTTGAGCACACCCCAGTCATTGCTGTGTGCATGTACCGGTTGACTTATCATTAGGAGTGAACTCTGCAATGTTGTTCAAATGCATAAACAATTTTTAAGGTGCATGGGATAGCGGCGAATTTTTGGCAGTTCTATATCACATGGGTTCAAACTGAGGGAAGCGTCATCATTGGAACGTCATTGCGGTACCATTGTAACCTAGACTCATCATTGTCGACAGCATGACGGCGTTCAACACCTAGACTGCCTGTGTAACGGCCTAATAGAACCGGTCGGACGGTGGTATGCCCCTGCTCATTATAACTGTGGGCAATTCAGCAGATCTAACGGAGAAGACTATCTGAATTTGTCAGCCCGTTAGGTTTGAGGTCATCAAGCGGAACACATTCACACAGGCTCCCTTCGTAAGACGAACTGACCCACTTTCAGTGATTGAGTGAGCTTTGATGAGTTTGTAACCTTGCTCCAGAGATTTGGCACAGGGGTTATTAGGTTTTCATTAAACCCACTTTGGGCACTGCCTTTCTGGCAAGCTTTCTCTTTGTTTGAGCCAACAAGACAAAACACAACTTCATACTCAGTGAAACAATCGAGCTGTTACCAACTCTCAATGAATCTCTCTTGTTGTGTTGTCTCAAACTATATGACTTTCGGTATATGCGCGAATCGCAACCCTCAGAGTAGGTCAGTTTGCTCTGAAAGGATCTGGTATTGCTCAATTTAGTTAGTAAGTCTTTTATTAAGGGAAATACCGGTAGTTCATGTACATGGACAGCTAGTGCTCTGTTCCCCAAGGTCGGCATTACCCCAAAATATTGTATGTTGTGCGCGTGTGTGCTCAAACCAAAGTCCACCCCTATCTCCACGTTCATATCTTTGCAGCTCACGGAATTTCGGTGTCCACGGAAGCGGTCATGTCTCTGGCGCAAAAAGTCTGTTGGAGTGCTTTCCTATCATCGCTGGCGGGTCGGTATTCGCACAATGGAACTGAATTTTCGAAATTTTTTCGCGTGTCCCTGATGGACTAAAGCAATCGGACAATTGAGTTGAGAGTACTTAACCAAACTTTCAAGCCCCGTTTAGGCATCCCGGGGTCTCAGCAATGCTGGAAAATTGTCCCACAGGTCTTTTAAACCGGAGGCATCGTTGCTAAGGTGAAAAATAAAATTTTGTGGGCTGCAAAAATATGAAGGTAGATTAGGACGGCTTTTGGTTTGAGCACACACGCAATAAATTGTAATATTGCGGGTTAGAAATTTTTCTTCTTTTTGTAAACGTTTTGCAGCTGACAGCATCGTGCGGATAAAGGGCACCCATTGCTGACACCCCGGGATTGCCTAGATGGGGCTCAAAAGATTGGACTGGCACTCTGAACTCAATTGCCTGCCTCTTTTAGTCCAACAATGCACGTCGTAGCTTTCAAAAATTCAATCCCATTATGTGAATGCATAATGCATCAGCCCCTGATCCTTCCCTCCCAGTTTTTTAATATAGCTAAAAATGACCCAATGTTAGTCTTCCATCTGGATTGTATCATTCACGCCAATGTCCTCAGCCTATAAATCCCGGGGGCCGAATTCGGCGAGAAGAGGAAACGACCAGTACTACAAACCTAAGCCACTTCCTACGTCAGTGGAAGAGATGGTCCCATAAGAACTCTACGGAACAATCCACTCTACTCCGCTTGTCTTGGTAAACACGCTGTTGTTTCTTCTCCCCTTTCCTCATTACGTACAACATGGCTACCTGTATGGTTGCTTCCATTTCGCGCCTATACAGCCTTTCTTGTTTCCGCCTGAACGTAGATGGTCTTCGAGCAAGCCTCCGCTCATGTTCAATTCAACTCGTGAGTCTCACCGTCTTATACCGACCCTTAGACGCGCACTCAGATCCCTCGGAAACCGTAGTTTGCAACATCGCATAAGAATTTTAGCACTTAACGGCATTTATTTGGAGCATTGGTATCTCTCCAGATAGTGGCAGTTGTAAACATTCGTTTATGCATACTAGAGATCCACTGTGGGCGTGAAATCCGTAACTCACTGGTATGGAGCCCTTGAGTACGATAAGACATTTTGCGGGGGAGTTGGTTACTTCACGTGTGTCTTCCTGGTTTGCATGAGTAAATAAACAATAATCATGTTCTATTTATCCACGCAAACTCATAGCCGATCACCCATTCGCCGTTTTTGCAGAAGACGTTTTTTATTTTTGCGGCAGGCTCCCATCCAGACAAGTCCAAAGAATTCGCCAAGGGTTGTAATGTTCCCTGATTTTTCTTCGAAGCCTCATTCTTCATCGGATCCACGGCAAGGTTTTATCTTCGCTGGTGTACTGAATCCTTGATAAAGCTATGGGAACAATTAGTGCATTCATGGACAGTCATAGCAGGGACTGCTACCAGGTAGTCAGTACTCTGTACACCAGGCTCAAATGCAGTGGGCTTGGGTGGTCTTGTAGGCGCATGTAGCGCGCTTGAGTGGGAAGTAGCAAAGACCGGATGAACTACTGGATATGACGGTCCTCCCTGGAAGAATGAGAGGAGACTGCGGAGGCTCCTGGATTGGCGACCTGTCGTGGTCATTTGGCGGCGCTGAAGACCCTCCTCGGAGGCCGGGCGAAGTCGGCCCTGGATGGAGCCAGAAGAGGCTATCGGATGATGGACTATGCCGCCGCGGGGGATGCTCTTGCGGCGGAGTTCAACAAACTGGCCGACTGCCCGTTGGCTATGAGGGAATTCAAGACGGCCAGGATGAAACAGGGATGCAACCCGACGTCGTTCTTTGCCAGCCTTACCAAAAGTGGGCAGTGTCGCGCCAGCAGTTGCTGCCAATTCGTCGAAGGTGTGCAGCCGGCACCTCAGTTGCGGTAAGCGAGAGCAACTAGCCAGTTGAGTGCTGATACTAGGTCATCTGGTACGATAATCGACCAAGGGGTCACTGGCCACGTCGCAATCGCAGGAGAGCGGGAAGGATTCAACAACGGAGGATCTGAGGAACAAAGTGGACCACCTTAGTGAACAGCTTGCAGCCATCAAGGTGGAATGGTTGAGGCACACATGAACGAACCGATTCTACAGATGTGGCAAGCCTGATCACTGGAAGACTCACTGTCGTCCTACCCGACCACTTGTAGATAAAAAACTTTGGATCGCTCCGCTTTTCCTGGGTGGGATGTGAATAATGCAGTAACAGGCTACGAGATAGGCCGTTATCGAGATAGACTGGAAGAGGGAGTTGTGCTTGATTGATACAGGATCGGGGGTATCGCTGAGGTGGGGATAAAACAAAGCTGAATGCGAACCGTGCATCCTGGCCATGAGGGTATTGGTAGGTTGCTTAATAAACGTTCACGGTTTGTCAATGCACGCGATGCGCCTAGGTGACAGGTCGTTGCAGCAAGAGTTCCTTATCAGCCCAGAATTACAGCAGATGGTCATTCAAGCAGAATCCGTGTTGGACCTAACAGGGGGAAACCGGTGAAAATGTATTGCGCAGTCAAGCTTCAAGATTGCCCAAGCACTTCCGACACCGGTCTACACGTCTGAAAGCCTTCGTCCCCAAATATGCCGTCAGTACAGTCCGCGGTCGAAAAATACTCCGAACTGCTCACAAGAGATGGAGATCCTTTTGGCTCCTGCCCATTGACTGGCCAGAAAATTGTTCTCTCGTCCGAATACTTTCGACCTTACGGCCCTCGTCCGCTGCCGCTCCACAAACAAGTTTAACATGTGTCGAAAAACGGCATAATCTAGGAATCCAGCAGAGCGCACGGCTCCGCAGTTATGCTTTTAAGGATGGCGAACAGGAAATACCGGTTCTGTGTGACCTTTTTGCGTTTGGATGAACTGACCGTATATTGGGGTGCAGCTATCCCTTCGGTTTTGGATATTTTCGGTTCCATTCAGAATTCCCACTATTTCCGGTTACTTGCTAGTATTTGCCAAGGTGGAGGACTGGGACAAAACGGCATTTACGGTTGGGGACACCCAATAATAATTTAGAAGAATGCCGTTTGGTTTGTCTGGGGCCGCATCCATATTCCGGCGCTCCGTTTAACGAAGGGACTTCAGAATGTTGCCGTGTACGGAGACGATGTCGTTGCGCACAACAATTCGCAACCAGAGCCCGCAGTTCAGTTGAAGGCTGTATTAAAGCGGATCCGGTAGGCTGGTTTGCGGATAAATGAAGCCGAGACACAGCTCGCTCGGAGTTCAGTGACACTGCTGGGGCACGAATTGGGTCACGAAGAGGTTAGTCCACTGCCAGAAAAATGGACAAAAATCGAGGACTCTGCTATTCTAAATACAAAGCGGTCTCTATGGCAGTTTCTTGGACGAGCAGCATACTACAGGCGGTTTGTCCAGGATTTCGACACGGTTGCTGCTCCATTTGTTCGCGCAAAATCGGGAATACGAATGGACCATGGAAGCAAATAAGGCTTTCGTTGGTGTCAAAGCACGAAAGTTGGATCAGCAACTCACCCCGAAGCTGCCCAGAGTCGGAGATATGTTCACTGTTGCAACGGACGCTAGTGAGCGTGGTATCAGCGCAGTCCTAAAGCAGAGGAATGTAGTTTTCTAATATGCCAGTCCTGCGTTGACCAACGACTAACAGAAGTACATGACCATTTAGAAAGTATGTTTACCAATCGTCCGAGCCTTGGATAAATGCAATTCCTCCACGCTTTGGCGGAGAATTTATGCAGAAACCGATCGCACCCTGTGGCGTATCATGACCGCCAGAAATCCTCGCGAAAGCATCGCGCGCTGGAAAGTTCCGTTCCAAGGGTGCTACTCCACGATGCAGCAAGTGCCAAGGAAAGAGAACCACTTGACTGATTGGCTGTCGAGACCAGATGCTGGGGATCGGGCCCCAGAATCATGGTT